AAGCACCCTTAGAAAATGAATCCATGGGATTTTTGATCTAATTTGTAGGATGTAAACCATAGTCAGGTAACCCAACCGACCAGCCCCCCCTGACAGGAGGCTAAGTGGCTGTCTAGCTTCAGTCTTTACTATAATGGGGTAACACTGCAATGGGGTTTTGCTTTGTTTTCCATTTATTCCAGTTTCCCTGTGCACAGACACACAGAAAACACTGCAGGACACACTAGTTCGTCTGCGTCAGCCCATATGTGCGCTGGCGCATGTATTTATTATCAGGAATATATTACACTTATCTGTACATCATAACTGAAATAATACAAACTCTTCCTGTAATCATTAGCCACATAGTAAACGGGACCACAGAACTCTTGCTGAGTGGGAAACTGTACAGAGGCTCCTCAGCGTGTCCATGGGACACAACCGCCATCAGTGCAGAGACATAAAATACCTGATTTTGCACTTGATAGTTTTTCCTTTCCTTCCCCCCGACCTGCCACCTTGGCGAGTCTTTGCCACTGTGTGTCTGCCAAGTTAACCCCTCTGTGCTGGCAGCCGCAGGAGGCGCCGTCCCAACGGGGCCAAACGGCGCTTTCCTGCAGAAAAACAGAGCTTTCCTCCAGCTCTCCGTGCTCCTGCTCGCTGCCAGCTCCCCTGCCATCCCCCCTCACCCTGGTGGGTGTTACCCGCTCCCAGTGCCAGTCTCTGGAGCCCCTTCAGAGCAACTGTAGGCTGGTTTTATTGCCACTGCAGCCTTCTGCATTGAATAAAGGTTAACCAAACGGCTTCTTTTTAAAGACACAGGGGCAATAAAACCCTTTTCTGCTTAGTGCTGGCTGCATTCCTTCTCCTGCGAAAGGCCACCCTACCCTGCCAACTGGTAAAGCCCCTGCGGCGGCCATAGGAGCAAAGACTAGAGGTGTGGCCCCCACACCTTTGGGAAGGCAGAGCTCACTTTGCTCGGTCGCAGCTCCCTGGCAAGAGCAGGGGTCACCAGCTTGGCCAGGCACTCGGGGGGTCTTCATCCCCCGGGAATGGCTGCCCCACTCAGGGACTGCTCCCTTCCTCCCACTGCCCAAGTGACCTGGGCTTTTGTTTCACACCTACTCCTGCACACAGAGGCAAGGAGAGACAGGACAGAGGAAGAGCAGGAAAAAGGAATAACCTTTTCTGCGGAAAAAAAGTCCATGTTTCTGGGCTTACACCAGAAGGAAGCATCCTTCACACCCCTGCAGGGGTGGGTTGCTGGGTCCCTTCTGGTCAGGCAAAACCTCCTGCAGCGTTTCTAGCAATCGGGCAGGCCCCAGAGGCCATGCCAAGGAAGAATCCAGTGAGAGGCAGGATTGGGAGTCAAAAATTAGATGGGAAAGGGATCACCAATGATACCAAATGATGGTGGAGCTGGGATCGGTCCCAGTTTTCCCACCATAAAAGCCCCACTCCCAATTCACTGCTGGAAGCATCTCTTGCATATGAATTTAAACTAACAAAGTGCCAAGGAAAGCACCAGAAACAGAGGGAAAGAATGAATAAATTAAAAAAGAAAGGGCTCAGCCAGCCTGTCCTGGGCCAATAACATGCTCTTTTGTGTTTGGCATGGAAAAGTTTAGATTAGCATCATGGTAACAGCTCTAGTTGTATCATCTCACCTGTTTTTTAAAAAGGAGGACCCTAGAAACTACTGACAAGTCAGCCTGACTAATCTTGTGACCTTCTGCAATAGTGTGACTGCGTTGGTAGATGAGGGATGAGCAACGGATTTCATCTACCTGGACTTCTGTAAGGCCTTTGACACTGTCCCACACAACATCCTTGTCACCAAATCAGGGAGATACGGGTTTGGTGGATGGGTGTTAGATACGGAATTGGCTGGATGGCTGCATCCAAAGAGTTGCAGTCAACAGCTCAAGGTCCAAATGGAGATCAGTGACAAGTGGTGTCCCTCAAGTGTCTGTATTGGGACTGGTACTGTTTAATATCCTCATCAACAACATAGGCAGTGGGACTGAGTGCACCCTCAGTGAGTTTGCAGATGACACAAAGCTGTGTGGTATGGTCGACACACTGGAGGGAAGGGAGGCCATGCAAAGGGACCTTGACAGGCTGGAGAGGTGGGACCATACAAACTTCATGAGGTTCAACGAGGCCAAATGCAAGGTCCTGCACCTGGGTTAGGGCAACCCCCAGTATCAATACAGGCTGGGGGATGAAGGGATTGAGAGCAGCCCTGTCAAGAAGGACTTGGGGGTACTGGTGGACGAAAAGCTGGACATGAGCCAGCAATGTCTGCTTACAGCCCAGAAAGTCAACCGTGTCCTGGGCTGCATCAAAGGAAGTGTGGCCAGCAGGTCGAGGGGGGTGATTCTCCCCCTCTACTCCACTCCAGTGAGACCCCACCTGCAGTACTACATCCAGTTCTGGGACCCCCAGCACAAGAAAGACATTGACCTGCTCAAGTGAGTCCAGAGAAGGCCACGAAGATGATCAGGGGGCTGGAGAACCTCTCCTGTGAGGACAGGCTGAGAGAGTTGGGGTTGTTCAGAGAAGGCTTCAGGGAGATCTTATTGTGGCCTTTCCATACTTAAAGGGGGCTTATAAGAAAGATGGAGAGGGACTTTTTACCAGGGCCTGCAGTGATGGGACAAGGGGCAACGGTTTTAAACTAAATGGAGTAGATTTAGATTGGATGCGAGGAAGAAGTTCTTCACTGTGAGGGTGGTGAGGCACTGGCACAGGTTGCCCAGAGCAGTTGTGGCTGCCCCCTCCCTGGCAGTGTTCAAGGCCAGGCTGGATGGGGCTTGGAGCAACCTGGTCTAGTGGAAGGTGTCCCTGCCCATGGCAAGGGGGTTGGACTAGATGATCTTTAAAGGTCCCTGCTAACCCAAATCATCCTGTGCTCCTATGTTCTCCTTGTGTCAGAGATGTGTTGGCAGGATGGAACACGACAGTACAGTAGGTGTTGCAGATATCTGTGCGTTTAGCAAGTATGAACATGGCTAAAATCTTACTTGGCAAGAAGGGGCTTTGTGTGCATGTGTGTGCTGGGTATCTATCTTACTTTCAGGTTGCACTTACTGGAAACACTAAAATCTAGTAATGCATTTCAACAGTAGTAGTTGGTGTGGCATGATCTAGTCTAACAAGATGCTCAATTTACTCAGTATCACAGTATCATGCAAAAGCTGCTACAAAAATCAATTTCTCTAAGAAGGAGAAAAAAAAAATCACCTTTTTTTTAAACACCGTGGAACAGGCCACAGGCGCTTTGATGGTGATTGAAGCTGTATCTAAGCTGCAGTCTGTGAATCCTGAGTACTTCCCAGGAAAGCTGAAGCACAGCTCCCATCCGAGCAGTATGGCAGAGCTGTGCAATCCCACCTCTGCTCGTGCAGGGTGTGCCGGTGCCACCGCACACCCGGGTAGGAGAGCCCCCCTCCCCACAGCGCTCCCGCACCCCAGAGGTCTGCTGCATGTACCATCTCCGGCTTATTTGACCTCAGTGCTCAGAGCAGGAGTGCACGCAGGCTCTTTGCCCCAAGCTGGATAGAAAAGAATCCCACGGATCTCTTTTTTATTTTTAAATTATGCTCAGGGATGTATTATTTTTGCTAGCAGTGCCCACAGGGGCCCTGCAGCCTGTCCCACCCCAGCTACTCCTTGGCCTCACCACCCCCTCTGATGGGGGTCACCCCAAGCCTGGGTGAGTTTTTTTGCTTCTAGGTGGGGAAGTTAAAGGTAGTTTAGCCACTCTTTTCCATGCATCTTAAAAGTGCTCTGTAACTTTGGGTAAGCTTTAGCAATGTGAAATAATACATATATGTGGAAGGAAAGAAATTCTGACCTCGTTTGCGCCCATGTAGTCTGCTGTGCTCTATTTGGTGTCTCAGATAGGAGCAGGCTAGAGCCCTAGCAGGCACCCAGTAACTCATCCTAATGCTGGAACCCTCTTGACCAGCAAAGGTTAAGGACAAAAAACTTATTTTGTCCTTCTTGCTTACGGGACTTGAAATAAATCAAAATGTACAGGAACATACAACCAGAGATTTTGATTGTATCCAAACTAGGACAAGGTAAAACAAGACCTAACTAGGATTTAAAGACTCTAAAATCGAAACACATTAACCGGTAACCTCTATCAAATTTGCTAAAACCCTCAAGTTTCTCATCTCTAGCCTATCTCCACTTACAATATCGATGCTAAGAGTTAAAAAGCAGTGAATGGTATGCGTATTTTATCTGGTGTTCAATGCAAAGGTAATGGTTTCAAAGGCAGTACTGTCTCAGAATGTCAAAGTCGCTGGTGTTCATGTTACATAGAGTACCACTTGGTGGTCATTTGGAAGGCGCTTCTACATCTGTGTAATTTTCTTCTAGGTTGGGTATAAATATTCCTGGGAGGCTAAACAGAAATGCATTTCGTTTAGATACAAGTCTTAGGCACGAGTTAGAAAACTGCTGACTGTAATGAAAATATATCAGCACTTAGTAGTATCCAATAATATAAAAAATGCAATTCAGAACATCTTCAACTACATATATATGTGTGTGCATCTATATATAGGTATAAAGGTACAATACATACATGTATATAAACACAGACACATATACAGAAATATTCACAACTTGAACTGTATTTGTAGCTAACCTGAAATACTGCAGCAGAAGTTCATTCTGATGAACCATTAATATAGTATTTTCCAACTTTTGGCTCTAACCATAGTTAAAATGTTAACACATCAAACTACATGTTTTGCTATCCTAACTTTCTGCTGTCCTAGCTTTTTGCTATCTTTTTTGCTACTCTAATCAACATGTCAGAACCAAGAGCTCCTATGTGGGGACTATAAGAGTACCCTGCCTAGTGTAAAGCTATGCAGCTACTGAGCATGCTTGCAGCCACGAACCCTGGGTGCCTGCTGATGGTAATACTTCCTTGGATGGTAAACATTTAGCAGATTGGAAATGCATAAAAGGCAGGGGACCTTCGGCACGCAGGTGCCAAATCATCGCCTTAAGTTTCTGACTTTTGCTGGAGAGGAGTTCCCTGATGAGTAGTGATAAAAAGAAGTGGATGATGTGGATGGGAGTTTCACGGGGCTCACGGGACCTTCCTCCTTCAGCTTCGAGAGAAGCTGTTTGTTAGTCCTGCTCAGCTTCTTCTTCTCCTCCACTTCTTTCTCAACGTATTCTTGAAGATTAGCATTCTCCTCTGACAATTGCCTGGAGAGGGAAGCAGGAAAACATGTAAGGTGCACCAGTGCAAAGACGGTGGCATTAGACAGCCAGTGCCGCACAAGACACAGGGCCAGGCAGGACCTCAAGCATCGCCCTCCATCCCACCCCATCCCATCCCATCCCGTCCCGTCCCGTCCCATCCTGTCCCGTCCCGTCCCATCCCATCCCATCCCATCCCATCCCATCCACCTGCCCCTAGGGCTGCAACTGAGCTACCCAAGCTGGGGCACAGCTGTCCCTGTGTCTTTTCACTGCCAGGTGAGAAAGGCACCTTCCCAAGTAACAGTGGCCCCTCAGTGCCTGACTCTGCCTCTGGATGCGCCTGTGTCTTTGCTCTACACCTCTTTGAGGCTGCTCAGCTGCCAAAGCTTAGATGGGATGAGCCCCAGCCTTCCTCCATGGCCTTATGCAACTGTCAGCAGCATGCGCAGCATGCAGAGATGCCAAGGGATTTGTGCATTGACCATGTACTCTAGACACTTTAGAAATGGCCATTTTCCCATACAGACAAGACAGTAAAAATTGGAAATTCCTAAAAGAAAACATTAGTGTATTAGTTTCTTTATTTGTATATTTGAAAGCAGCAAAAATGCAAGGCTGCAGTGCACTGCAAGAACAGGATTCTCCATTCATGGACAGAGCAGGTGGAGAAGGTAAATGAGATAAAGTGCAGGTGCATGCTGACCCTCCCCCAGCACTGACCTTCCCTGCGAGCTCATGGGCTTGTGAGCAGGGTGGGAGCTGAAGAGAACCCCATTCATCCCCACGGTGGGCAACCAGGACTGCAGAGCACACCAGCTCCATGCCAGTCCCACAGTCACGCTCAGTCTTAGCCACAGGCATCTAGAGAAGACTTCAGAGCTGGCCCCAGATATTTAGCTTGGGAATGCAGGTAGGCAAGCGGTTTCAGATGTCTGTGTCTCATCAGTATTTGCTTGTGCCTGAATTCGTTTTGGCGCCCTGGGAGCTACCATGCAATGAAGCTTATCAGGGCACTATCTTCCCTGCTTCAGCACACGGAGGAAGCAGGTGTCCAAGCATGGGGTTGTGGCCTCTGTTTGCACAACCTGTTCACTGGCAGTTTCTACCCAGGAATGTGCCCATAAACCTTTGTGGAGCCAAACCCACCCCCAGATGGAGCCCAGATCCCCGGATCAGTGGGCACTTGTGCTCCCTGCACATGCGGCCCCTTGGCCAGGGCTTCTGTTCCTGCACCAAGACAAGAGGCTTCAGAGATCAACCCAACATGGCCTGCCCCAGCAACGGCACCCCTGCAGATAACCAATAAGCAGCACAAAGTGCAGGTGGGCTCCTTAAATCCTGCTTTCTCTCTGGCATCAATGCCTGGCTCCAGCCACTTTTGCCCTGTGGCATTTCACAACCCACAGGTGCTTGCAATACTGCTGCATATTTTTCCCAGAGCAGCAGAGCAGCTAGAGCAGGCCCCAGAGGAGGATAGTCCTAGGTTTTAGGCCTTCTTCTGTCAGATTGAGGACAAAAATCCAAAGTCTCAACTCCATGGACAGCTATAGCTCTGACCCTTGTTTCTCAACCCTGCCACCAAAGCTGTGGCATGAGCGGGAGAGCATTTGTGGAGTGGCAGAGCAAGAGCAAAGAGGTGAGAGAGAGCAGCTGCATCCCTGATGCTTCCAACCAGCTGCTGCTGCATGCAAAGGGAAAGGAGTCTGTGCTTTCCATGCTCCCCATTTTAGCTGATGCCCTGATGCAGGTTGCAGCTCAGCTTTGAGGCCTTCCCTCTTCTCTGTAAATGGTCATGAGGCTGTGAGTCCTTCTCCAGCTCCTTCTTCCTTGGTCCTAACGACCCCCCTATTCTTGACTGCAACACCAGGCAAACTTTACCAGCAAGGACCAGGGAGGTGTTTTCCACAGAATGCCCTACAACCTCATGGCTTTTGGGGAGGTGAGGCACGAAAATCTGCTGTGGGCACCACAACCTCAGTGAGTCTGTTCTCATTTAACCATGTGACTGGTTTTAGAAGAAATGGGGCAGTGCAGGCAGACTGTGGGACCTGACTGAGATGTGTTTTGGGCATGTACTGGCAACACCACCATCCCGCAGGATGCATGGAGGAATGCTTGGCTTCTGCAGCCCCACCACACTTGGGCAGGAGCCAGGTCCTGATGTGAGCAGCCTGGGGCAGCTCTCGGCATGTACCTGATTTACAGGCAACTTAGGATTTTATACAAATAAACAGGGAGGCACCTAACCTCCCCCATAGGTATTTCAACAGTTCAGCAGAAGCTGGGTGTGGATTTTGGATTCACAAATGAAATTCTGCACAGCTCCTTTTCTGGGTGTAGCCTGAAGCCCATAGCAGATGTCATGGACTGCTGGTCCACTCTCTTTGTGTCACCAAAAGTTTCTGAGAGGGTGAGGTTGGCATTTCTGATTTTGTTTAAAAAATATTTTTACAGAATTTCTGCTTTTTTAGCCTAGATTCCTACAGAAATGGAGCTCAGGTGATCAAGAATATGTCTGTTCTCCCACTCCCTGAAAATTTTGAACTATGAAGCAGTGTCTAGCAGAGTCAGAGGATTAAAAGAGACAAGTTGGTATAAGTTTTCAGAAAGCTGCTTGCCTGGTAGAGGAGGAAAGTACTACTCACGGTCCCATTGGGGAATCAGCTGTGGCATGATCTCATGGTCTAACAGGCATGAGAAAGTCCACATGGGAGCTCACCCTGAAGAAATAACTCCATAGGAAACCTCTTGCTACACGTGGAATTACTTTTCCTTTTGCAATATCTAACAAGACAGGCCATAACAGTTACACACAAAGCCCCACTACATCCTTTTCCAGCCAGCATTCGCGGAGGGAAAAAAAAAAAGCACGTGTCTTCCCTGCCTTCATGTGTGACCAGCTGGTAAAGATCATCTGGGTACTGGGAACAGGATAGTCACACCAGCACAGACCTCAGAGCATGGTGAAGGGCTCAGCTCTCTCCTCTGCTAAAGGCACTGCTGGGGTGGGAGGCAAGCGCGGCCCACAGCCCATCAGCACGTATCAGCCTCATTTACATTGGAGGCTTAATGCTGCTTGCTAGAGGTTGGTAGGATGCGTGGTGACAATGTGCTCTGGAGTGTCTCACACGATAGTCTTTGCGGCACTAATGCACCCTACAATTTGCTGGCAGAGGCAGGCTGCAAGTTATACGCGCGACCTGCAGGTAAGTAGGGAGACACTGAGCAGAAAAGAGCCTTGCAGCCAAGTGCCTGTGAACACACCATGCAGCACTTGGACGTGTCCTCCAGAGACACCTGCTTTGCCACACGGATGGAGAAAGGCGCTGCTGCTTGTTGTGCTGCTTATTTTAACCTCGTGCACGTTGCACTGGGAATTTAGACTGTGTCACCTGACGTGAGGCGACTGGACAGAGGCAGGGCCAGCTTCACACCACCTGGAGACAGAGGCAGCTTGCACAGCCACTGGTACCAGCATCCTGCAGCAAAGCCACTGCCTTCAGCTCAGCCAACCTTTATCGGCCTCTGCTGCAGCGTGGGGAGAGATGGACATCACTGCTTACAAAAGATACAGATGCCCATTCAGCCCCTCTTCATCGTTCAAGCAGAAGAAGGAAGAGAGGCAATGTAAAAACAAATGTGTTCTCACTATGTAAGTTTGTATCTTGACATATGCTCCAATTTTAGACCTAACACATCTAGGGAACCCTTTATCCCCAGCACTGCAGACTTATGATGAGACATGTTCCTCTGCCAGCCTCGTGACAATTTAAGCAGCTGTAACAAATCACAGCCATAAAACCAGAGGTCTTCAGGGCACACCAGCATGACAGGGTTGCAGGGGAAGGTGCTTGAGTTGTGCCTTTGACTGATGTTAAAGCCTCTCTCAAAAGGCCCAGAGGTCAGTAGGTGCCTGAGCTGTGCCAACAGAGACCAGACACCCTCCTGGTCATCTTCATCTCTAGGGTGCGGGGAACTACTATTCCTCAAACACCCCCAGTCCAAAGGACCAAAAAATTACTTTTTGATTTGGAGGAAGAATCCAAAACATTGGGAAATGAAATAATTTATTCAAGTGCTTCGGGAAGTCCCAGCAGAGGCTCTGCGGGGCTCCTGTGTCCAAAGCTGGAGCATGATCTACCTGCAAGGCCCTTTTCCTCCACTTTGTCCCTGCCCTTGGCTATGATTAGAACTATCTCTGTCGTGCACCCCTCAGCCCCCTGATACCTCTGGGACCCTCTTCCTGACTGTGCTGCAAAGGCTGTCTGTTCTCTGGCTTCCAGCCCTCCTGCTCCCCGCCCTCCTCTCGCTGCTGCTCGGCTGCCACAGCCGTGTGGGAACCCAAACTGCAAATCAGCAGAAACAGTTGTAATCCGTGCTGTTCCTCAGCAAGGGCAGCTCCCTGAGCTCGTTCACGCTGCACTTCCCAGGCAGTGCCAGCAGAACAGTAATAAGCAGTCACAGTGGCTACTGCTGCTAGAAAAACGCGTGTTTTAATAACTCCAACTGTAAAGCCCTTGCTGAAGCTGTTCCTATAGCTGTCCCCAAACTGTTACTGTTGAAAACGACTGTCCTCTTAAGCTGACTTTCCAGGCTGACCTCAAATTTAGAATTTCTTCCAATACATGTTCTTTGAAGCTAGTACCTACATAGTTACAGGCAAAAAGCAAAGCGCTGTGGCCAGATGCCAGCAGGGAGTGGAGGGTATTTGCCCAGCCAGAGACAGGCAGCTGCAATGCAGAGACGCCAAGCACTGAACCAGACACCCTGGCTGCTGTCACAGGCATGGAAAGAGACTGCCACTTCCAGACCACAATTCATCCAGCCCAAAAGCAGGCATCTCAAACTGGTCTGGTGAACCAGACCTTAAAAATTCCTGGTTTTCCTCCCCAAGCACAGAATGGCTGTAGACACCCACCTCAGACAGTGACAAGAATTTATGTGTGTTACAGGTAGTTACAATCAGGTGAAAGGAAACATAATCCTCCCCCCAATCTGAATGTTAGTACAAGGAATGCTGCCTTTTTAAAATATCTACATGCAGAAGACAGTTTTTAAAGGCTGAATCATTAATAAAGGAGACATAGAAAGACAAAAACTAAAATTAAATCAGAGATGAGATGCTGAAGATTTAAAAAGTCAGCTAAAAATTACATTGCCTCTTAGGCCAATGGCCTCACTTCTGGCAACAATGACAGCTAGGCAGCTGGTATGTTGGGGCAAGTTCAGCTCTAGCATCTCCCCCTGGTACCTCTTCTGCCTGGCTCCAGTTGCAGTCTCTTGCCTTACAGCTGACTATAAAGTCTCTGGGACAGGGACTGTCCTGCCCTTCTCTATTTCTATACCACCTAACACAAGGAGCCTTGTCACCTTTGTCAAGTTGTGACAAGGGTGCAAACAGACAGTGTAGATGGAAAAAACCCACCAAAGGACAACCCACCTGGGTGGCAGTGGCATTGTTAGGATGTCTCTCGTGAGATTGCTCCATTTCCCATCCTCGTAGAACCAATTAACAGGTCTCAGGGCACTGACACTGAGACCAGAAGCCACTGGCAACTTTGCTCTCAGCAGCATGTCAAAATCATGGACATACACAGGCAAATATGTGGCCTTCCTTATGGTAAAGTAAGGAAAACCTGATATAAAAAGGATCTTTTAATAAAATAAGCATATCAAAACACCAATAGATTTTCAGGAGGAAACTAGTTTTTCCCCTTCTGAAATAAGTGTCAGCCTTGGGCAGTTAAGATCTGCAGCTTTCTTTCAAGCTCAGATAGATTGTAAATATCAGCTCATACCTTGTTATGACAGTATTTTGCTCAATCCTGGCTTTGAGTTCTTCATTCTGCTGTTGCAGCATGGTGATTTTTTCTTCCAGTTTTAAATTTTTTTCAGTCTGCAACAAAAGAAGGTTTGTTAAGTCTGAAGAAAGCCCAACACCTGATCCAAGAGAATTTGTTCTTTATCTTTATTTGTCCCTACAGCAACTTCTAAAATTTAAGGATAGATGGAGGTGGTCAGCTGGGAGAGGGCAGGTTTAGACTAGATATAAGCAAGAAGTTCTTCACCCTGAGGGTGGTGAGACACTGGAACAGGTTGCCTAAGGAAGTTGTGGATGCTCCCTTGGAAGTGTTCAGGGCCAGGTTGGATGGTCTGGTGGGAGGTGTCCCTGCCCTAGTAGGAGGGTTGGAACTAGATAATCTTTAAGGTCCCTTCCAATGCAAACCGTTCTATCATCTTGACTGCAGCTGAGACTTAGAGGTCTGAGATACACCATGTCATACTGGCGAAGTAAGTGAGGTCATCAGCAGAGCACTGAGCAGGGGCAGAGCTGAACTAGCCCTTACTTCTAGCTGAGGAGAGGGAGGGTCTTAGTCTTGTCCAGTGCAAATAAAACATCTTCCTTCGTGGTGCCCCCACAACTTTAATCCCTTGGGAACCAGCGTTATCAGCTGTTGTTCTTGGACTAGGAGCTGGCGGCACTTGGGGAGCATGGGGATGCCCAGCATGGAAAGGGCACTGTGGTGTGAGTGGTCAGTCTAGTGATGAAGGAGGAGCGCAAGGTGGTATGACGTGCATCACCCAGCTCAACTAACCTCATTGGACATAAATGTCTGGTGTCCAGCCTCTAGGATTATGATTTGCCAGTTACGGGCAGGAAAGAGTTACCCACCAGGGCAGATTACACCCAGCAGCAGCCTTAGACTGCTGCTGTATTCACACGAGGTGGGCTGCCCTTTGGAGACACTTTTCTTTGCTGCTGACAGCTTAAACTAGATGTTTAAGCTACAATTAAGCGAAATGAATCCTATCCTTTGTGTAGGTAGCTTTTACTCAGGACAGTTCAAGGACAGAGTTTGAGGATGTCAACAGCACTGTATTAAAACATCAGTAAGATGTTTGCAGGCATGTATCATAGCCTCATATGCCCCGTTTTCCCCAAGTTTTGAATTTGACATACTTTATCACCTTAGTCCTCGGTTTTCCAGCAGTCCGAATTTTGCTGAATTCAATATTTTTGGAAGAAAACAAGATATCACATGGTAACCTTATCCCTGTGTGAGCTTGGTTATTGAATTTCCCAACCTTTTATAAAGTACCAAAACATTGTGCACTGGAGTTAGCAATAACTTACAATTTTGGCAGAGGCATCAGTTTGATGCCATGGTTTCCAGTCTATGCAGGTAACCATAAAGGATACTCTTGATTCTCAGATATTCTGGCTTATCCCAGTATATTTTGTTAGAGCAGAACAAGGGTTCTGGCCCTGTTTTGAAATACTGTGAGAGGAAGCACCATCACGGGCACCCTCTCTGCTTCCTCAATAGTTTTAATAAGTAGTAGCTATGCCAGCACGAAGCATTGGAGAAGACCTGTGCATCACCTTCCCTCTCCATTGCAATCCTCACCTTATACCACTCCAGTCCTGCCACCTTCATTTCCTGCCTCCCTTTCAGCAGACACAGAGCCAAGCCTGACCCTGCATTTGAAATGCTCTCCTGCTTCCTAATGAGGCACCCCATCTTTCAGAGCATTTGGAGATGCCCTGTAGATATTCTGGCACTTATAAAGGTAGACCTTTAAACAGAAAGCAGTTGTGCCTTTGGACCACAGTAGACCCAGTGTTTCACCGTGATAAAGGGCAGGACCAGGACTGTGCGCTCGCATGCGGTTAATTAGCAAAAGCAACTAAATGCCAGGAGTTATGTAGGCTGTTGTTTGGGATTTTTTTTCAGTATAACACTACAGTGCATGTTTTCAGATGCTGGCTTAGCTCCAGCAGCAGCGTGTTGGAAGGAGCACAGTTAACAAGCCTCCGTTGTAAAAAGGCACTTTTCTTTACATCCACTTACTCAAGCATCTGTTCAGCAAAATAATCATCAGACTTCTCAGATTTCCCCGTAAATGGAAACAAATCTTGCTGAATGCTGTGCTGAATCAGCTATCCCAGCTCCCCAGCTGAGGTAGTGCTTTATCTGCCACCACACTACACATTTACTGTCACTGTAAGTTATACTTCACAAAATGAATCCCCTTTCCAACAGAAAATGTAACTGATGGTGAACTGGGGAGTTCTTCGTTAGGGACCCCCACAAGCAAAGAATGAGAAAATAGCGTAGGCTGCAGAAAAGCATTACTTTAGGGTTGGAGAAGCCTTTCCTAGCTTAAGTCTTGCTAGGGACTGATTGCTGAATATTGCGAATTCATACTTGTGGCTGGGAGCTCACTAAATGTCTGCACAAGCAGCAGTAAGACACATGGCTCAATCTTCCTCCACTTTCCCTCTCCAACCCTAAATGCTTACCTGACTACTGTAGGGGCATATGGTGCAGGCTGGTGTACGAAATGAAGCCCTGGACTACCACAAAGTTCCCCTTCTTTAATGCTTCCTACACCACTTACCTGGCTGTCTCATGTAACACACTGAGCAGGTATTGCATGAAAAAGCAATACAGATCAACAGATGTGTGGGAGAAATTAAGGGTATCATGGGTGAGTGAAGAGATGGGAAAAGATCCCAATTTCTGAGTGAAAACCAAAGACGTTGTGTAGTAGAAGCAGCTATATAGGTTGACAGTGGAACAACACAATATATATCCATTTATGAACTTCTTTGACTGTGCCTTGCCCCAACCTCATGTGTTTTCTCACGCCTTTTAAGTTCATCTGCTGTAACCAAACTTGTACTTTATTACCTCTGTGATGTCTCCTCTGGAGGAAAAATGACAACTCACCTGTTTTTCTAGCTCCATAATCATCTTCTCCTGTTGGTGAATCTGATGGTTCTTCATTTCCAGAACATGTTTTAAGCTCTTCAGATCTTTTTCTAAGTGCAGATATGGAGCTCGTGCAATCTGGGAAATATACCAGTGATTTGGGTATCTGTCAGCCATAAATGCATCTTCAGCCATAAGATAAAGTTTCCTCAGCACACCCAGTGGTTTAGAAGTCTCACGTGTTGTGAAAACCACCTGGACCTGGGCCTCCACAGCCCATCTGAACCCTGATATTCTCTCCTAGACCACTCCTTTGGCTAGATAGCCAACAGTACCTCTCTTTTCACCAACCACATGGCTAGAAGGATGGGATGCCAGGTTGTTCAGCAACCTCGTTCCTACTCATAGCTTGGGAACTGCATGAGGTGTTTTATGACTGTGCAGGGATTTTGTTTCAGGAAAAGTACAAACATGAAGAAACTGAACAAGAGGGCTGGAGGTGAAAACTGCAGTGTTCTGCCTTGCCTGCACCAATACCTCATAGTGCCTGTTAACAAAGATCAGATCTGATGTGAAAAGGTTCCTCCTCTGCTCAAGAACTTCAGAGTAGGGGATATTAGGGTTCAACTCATGGGCAAAAGATGTGCTCTGAATTATATGGATGAAATACTGTTGCTGACTTAAGTTGTTCTGGATTTTTCCCAGTGTAATTCACTCCAGTGAACTTCCTGCTGGTACTTGGCATTAACATCACTCTGACACAGCAGAATTTGTCCTTTCATGTAAATTAAATGCTGTGGTGGAGGTGGAAAGGGACTAATGCTACCTGTTTCCCACAGCCAAGCCTGTTTCTGACATTTGCACTCCTTTCCTAAACAGTTCTCTCACCCAAAAACTCACCGATCCCCTTGCTCACCTCACTATTGTCATTCCGTCCCCTCTGTCATGGGTTTGTGCTGTGAACACACTGAAATGCCCCAAGTTAAAAGAAACTCTTTTTGGAGGGTCATTTCAGGGTTGTTTCATTTCAGATAAATAATTGCAGTGTGTGTTTGCTTATACACTGTAAATAGACAGCATGGCCCCAATAGACAGCAGTTGAATAAATACTTCATATGACAGGGCTGTCCCCAGCAAGTCCAGAAACAAATGAAGGAATACAGATGATGTCAAAGAAGTTGGTTCAGAAGGCACAAAAAAATAAGTCTAAACCCGAAAAGACAGGAAGTAAAGAGAAAGAGAGGAAGAAGGGAAAGAAGAATAGACAGCAGTAAAGATATAGCAGATGGAATTAATAAAAAGTTTTGGAAACAGAGCTAAAAAGGCTGGGTGAAAGACTAAAGAAAAAGAAGTAAAATCAGAAAATGGTGGAGCTAGGCTAAGATTTCTGACTCCTCCTCAGAGCTCAAGATTTGGGGTCTTGGTTGGGACCTGCCCCCCAGTCCCTGGGGTAAGGAACCCATTGCTATCCACTGAATCACGTGATGTCAGTCATACTTAGAAACATGTATCTTGATGACTGTATAGTTATAGTTGCCATCTACCTTCAGCTGTTCCTCGTTGTTTTTCTTCAGAGCCTCTTCAAATCGGTCTGCTTTGGCCTTAAGAAATTGGTTCTGGAAGGTGAGGGTGTCTATCTGGTCCTGGAGGGGAGACACACCAATGAACACACCAACCACGTTACCACCTCTCTTACATTCATACAAGTCAATCTGCACTGTGAAACCACCACGGGAGCTGAACAAGGCTTAGAAACCCCTGCAAGGTGATATTTTTAATGTAAGGCCTCTTGAACATATGGTGGGGTTTCCGATAACCTCGTGCCTCTGGGAATCCTGAAATCCCTGCAACACCTGCGACTGGATGACACTGGCTGGCACTAGTTCATGAAATGTCTTTGATGCTAAGCCACCCCATCACCTTGGGCTGGATAACGAGCATGTCCTTTCTTAAGAGAGTTGGAATTTATATCACAGGCATGAAAGAGATCGTTTGTGCGGTCCCTAGAGTCTGAATGAGGCAGCAGAAACCCCATCCCTGCTTCTTCCACCTTCCTAGGCTTCTAACATGGTAACAAGCAACGACGAGTTAGTGGGTGTACTTCAGATGATCATCATTTCATCTCAGAGCTATACACAGGAACAGTATGCTATTTTAAGCAATCGTATTTCCTATTCCTGTTACCTCTCTATATACAACATCTGTAAAAGCCACAGTTGCTGTGAAACTGGTATTCTTATCTTTCATATATGTAATTTCTTGGCTGTAACTTTACATCAGTGCTTATTGCAAAACTGCTGACATGCCTCAAACTGTCACGGCTGAGTGAGGAAGGCAGTGACAGTTGCTGTGTGCAACAACAGTATGTGCTACTCAGGGGTTTCAAAAATTGTAATTAATCCCTGCCTATGAAATCAAACAGCACTTGCATTATTTGCTGTGGCACCTTTACTTGTTCACACAAGATTTCCAAACTTAGCGTGAATCACAGGGGCACGCTTCTGCCCTCCGCTCCTTGGGATTTCTTAATCTAGAGAGTGAGAACAGTATGGAGTTATTAGAAGGACTGAAAAAGCCAAGATGATCTTGAGCTTGGTGTTAAATAGTGAGGTGTGGGAGATGTGATGTGCAGGGCTGACCCTGGCTGGCCATAAGCTGGCCAGACAGTAGGGCTGGCCCTGGGGCATACTTCCTCAGGGACCAAATTGCCCTTTGGTGGGAATGGAGATGTGTCTACACTGCAGGTCCGGCTCCCCCACATTCAGGCAGCGGGGAAGAATTTAAAGTGCAAGCACAGGGCCAGGCAGGGAGAGGTCAGCATTTCTGAGCCCTGGGGGTGCCTGCTGGAGGGTACCGTGTAGGCGAGGTGATGCTCACAGCCACCAGCAGGTGCCGCAGCCCTCCCCACCATGCAGGGAAGAGCTCAGCTCTGGTCCTTGTGCTGGGCCAGCAGCCAGCAGCCAGCAGGGTCTAAAGGACAGTTCTTCGCTTTATTCAGCTGCCTTTTCCTCCCTTTAGGTTTGCCCTCTCTTCTCTTTCAGATAATGTTTTGTTGAACCAGCCAAGGGGGAGGAAAACACCTGAGGGGGCACCTTTGCTGCCAGATCCCAGTTTGGACGGGCAGAGGACAAGAGGTACTATAGCTGGTAAGAAGCAATGGTCTGGTGTGCTGGCAGCTGGCACGGGGCTGGAGCCGCCCCTTCAGCTGCTCCACAACATCATTACAGAGGTGGGAAATAAGGAAACTGCTAACCTGGAGTGACAGACGCAGTTTTTCAAAAGTCTCTTCTAATTGTGCCTTTTCCAGTTTGTGAGCAGTATTCAGTTCTGGGGAAGATACACAGACATGACATTGCTAAGTGAAGTCCAGCAAACCAGGGTCCAAGAGCACAGGCCTCGTAAGCCAAGCGCAATTCGGGATGCAGTTTTAGGGCATGGAGGTTGAGTATGAAACTGATAGTAATATACTCTGTGACCTTAGATGAATTGTTTTGAGGATCAGGGTTTCCTGATCTTCCACTGGTTGCAAGCACCTCTCTTTCTACGTGACCAGATTCTGATTTTTCAGAACCACTCAGAATTCCTGGCTCCTGGGGACTCTGATCTGAAAAGGGTCAGTCTGACAACGAGTCATTTACCACTTCAGAGTGAGTATCCCCAAATCAACAATTTTAAAATTAGATATATTTAAAAGCTTGGGTTGCGAATTCTTTGGGGAAGCAGAAAGGATGGCCAGCAACTCAGATGCAAAAACGCAAATGACAGTGCTTCTGCATGAGCTGTGGCAGATGACCTGTGAGATTCATTCCATCAGTGAGACTGACAGAGCCCAAAGGCAAAAAAGTCCTCTATTTATATTACATGATTAAAACTTTCACTACTAGAACAACTCACCCTGGACTTAATTACAACCAGAAGTTTAATACCCAAGGTGGAATAAAGTTTAATGTCTAAACCAATGGCATCAAACTGTCATTCAGTACAGTAGTAGCACCTACCCTTTTAGTATACAGACACTCTATTTTTGTGTCTTTACCTCCAGCCCCATGGGGTTCTGCCCCCTAACCGTCACTCATTAGCCACAATAACAGAAGTTATGCTACTAATGCTCTAGTGCCGTGTGCAGGGCGCTAGACCGCAGCTGCTGCAATGCCTTTTACATGCACAGGAGGGCATTTCATACTCACACCAAGAGCAGGGAGAACAAACTTTGGCCACCAGAGCCTGGATAAACCACAGCCAAGTCTTATCACCAGAAAATACTAACAAAAATGGACAGATAAGAATATCCTCAAGCAAGGAACAGCTTTTAAAATTATTTTCAAAATTGTATATGTTAATTTTAAAATGGTATGCTAGACACCATCTCTGCCTACAGGAGAGGAGAGTAGGCTGTTCTCAGCTCATGTTATGCTCTGGGCTGTGTCTCTAATTGACACAGCACAGAGCTAAGCAATAAGGTTCAGTTTGGGGAAAGCTGTGGGAAAACCTACTAGAGCTATTTGAAAATTAGACCCTCGTGCTTATGTGTAAAAAAAAGAAAGTGGGAGATCATACAGATAACTGTTAAATGTCAGCTAAAGCATGTACAAAGACATGTATTTAGATACCAAACTGGTAGGGAGGAAACAGCTCCGTCTGCATCATCAAATCCCGTGGAAAAACTGTAACACAAAGTAAAGATAACAGTGCTGAGGTGCAGATTTGCACCAGTGTGTGACGACTTTGGTCCTCTCAGCATGGCCAGACTTGCTACTGAAAATGATGAGTCTTGTTTTTAGAAGCAGTGTAGGCATATAAGGACCTGAATTCAGAGATGTTCAATGAGCTCCAGCCTCCTGAGCACCCTAGGATTAGGCGTTTGAGAAAAGTCTGTGTGTGAAGTGAGGTGGAATTTGGACTCTATGTTCAGGGACCCATAGAGAAAGCTTCATTTTTGGCCCAAAGACCCCTCAGATAGTCTCAGGTTCAAGTTAGATACTGTATACACTGCACATAGCTCTCCCTCACGCCTAGCATGAACCTGGTGGCTCATGCCATGTGAAACCACTAGACCAACAAAAATTTTCTGTGTCATCTGCTCTAGAGGAAGACAAACCAGGCTTACATAATCACTACAGCGCTAATTCCTGCTCTGGAATAGCTCTGTAGCCACTGGGTTGTCTGTGGCTTACCTTGAATCTTGCAGTCATTCTCATCCTGCAGTACTGTAATGGCAACTAAGTGGCTATTTTCCAACTGTACCATTGCAGCTTCATGTACAGCTGTGATATCTTCCACCTGTTCCAACGACAATGAATGGAGACATGGACGCATGATTAGGCATGCTGTGGCACACTGACAAGCCACTGCTAGAGAGCTCCAGTGAGCTGGAAACGGTAAAGGGATCTACTCGGTGTGACTATTCCAGCACCTGAGCCAGTTTTATTCATTATGAAACAGGCATGTTAATGTCTTGAGCAGTAGCGTGTAGTCACTGCTGATAATATTTTTGTTCTTTTAACTTAATGGTGATATAAGAGGCATATAAGAAAGCAAAAGGCCAAAAAGCTCTTAAGTGAAGAAGACATTTATGAAATGTTCAGAAATCTCAGCATTCTACTAATCTAAATTATATTAATGACCTGACTCCCTCTGATGGTCAGATAAATATGCATAGTTCTGAGCCATGCTGGTTTTTGTCTTCACAGCATTTTGCTGCAATGATTTTTATTGTAAGGTCTTGAATTAACTTCCGTGGAAAGTGCCTATGAATTATTCATAGTTGTAAAATATTTATTTCTAGAGAAACATTGACATTATTATCAGTGAGTATGTATAATGAATTGCAAGCAATCACACTTTTACTTGAAGAAGAGCCTCCTACAGTCATCAATACCCAAATTCCTATGTCGTCTTGAATCATGTATTTTGAATCCACATCCAATAAACTGATGAAAGATATGACAGCACTTTTTCCAGTGCAGATACAAGAATTTTTGGGTCGGTGTGGAAGTAAGCAAGATGACAGTGAAGCCACAAAACTTTTTCATGGTCTCATATCGAGGCCAGAAAGAAGTCCTGCTGCTGCAAACTGCCTGACAGACTGCACTGCACTCAACACTGCACACAGCCATCACAGGAGCAGGGGATGCAGTTGGAAGAGGGCTGTGGGTGGCCTGTGTTCCTGTATACTCGGTGGGTTTGGGACTCCTTCAGTACATCATTTGTTACTAGACTTGGCTAAAGGCAAAGCAAGATCCCTAATGGTGGTGTTTTGATATGCATCATTAAAGCAAATACAGTGAGAAGTGGTCATTAAGTTTAAATCAGGGGTCCAGAGCAGTTTCCAAATGCAATGCATTGATTTGCTTTTCTGGCTTTTGTAATCAAAGTGATCTTATTCCCTACATTTAACACATTGTCTGCAGTATCTGGCAACGCAGAGGATCAAACTATTTTACTTTAACAATGAAACAGCTGTTCACTGCAAAGTGACTTGACTTTAAACAGCCTTTTTGCTCACTGTTATGTTAAATAATGGTAGAAAGTTACTGCAGCTGAGCATGCCTTGACTGAAATAAATGTTATTTCACTGCATTTAACTGTCACACATATGTGTTAGATTACCAACAGAAGCAAAATTTCTAACTGCGTTGGAGAAGGCATGCTCTTAGAATGAAAAATAGGCATTTAACATGGAATTTAAAATTATCCAAACTCATTTTCATAATAATGTAGGAGACAACTCAGTGCTGAATAACTGTTTGCAAAACAGTGGGGATTCAGTCTGCTGATTTATTGCATGAAAGAGCAGGGATGACTCAATGGGCTACTAATGGGATAGGGACTATCACTTGACTTTTCCCAGAGCACGATGTCCTTGTATATAATGTCTGTGGACCAAACCCTCATAAGCATTGCCATGTTCTTTACCTTGCCTTTGCTTAAATCTTTATTTTTAATCTAATTGCTTCTCAGCTGAGCAGCACCCCATAGGAATGATTATGTTCAACTCCAACACCCTCAGAAGGTGAAGGGGTCTCCTTTTGCTGACACTATCCTTGGCAGGTTATTTATCTATAAAGCCAATTAAATATGTTCCAAATGGTCTGCAGGGATTTTCCCTGTCTTCTGTCTTGTGTTTCATATCCACATCCCAAATGACTCTCCAATCTTCCAGTGTGACCTCCTGTCTGTGATTTTTCGTAGCAGATAGTCTGCTTGGCACTGGGAAGATCTCTTGGGTGCTAATTCCTTCTTTACCACCAACTTACGCTATAGGCTTGATCAACACACTTAACCCATGTCACGGTTATTTCTGGCTATAAAAAGAAGCTCAGGTGGGATTTTTAAGGCTTAATAAAGTAAAATCAAGAGGAGGCTCTAGTGGGAGAGGTTGAGTAAGCTGGTGGACAAAACAGCTTGAGCTGAGCAGGACCATAGGCTTTACTTTGCAATTTTTCCCTTAGCTGCCAGGGGATATGAGAAACGTTAGGATGCATTGGCACACACGACGGGTTTGTGAGGAGTTTGGCTATCATGTTCTGCTATGCTGAAAGAGCTGCCTCACCTCCTCAGAGACAGCTGAACCTCCAAAACCTGACAACTGTGTATTCAAAGAAAGAACAGCTATCTGATACTAAACTGTGACGACAGCAATACAGTGTGGAAGACTAAGTTGCAACTGGAAACCACGGAAGCGGGATGACTAACTTCCAAATTAGATGTGTGGATATAGCAGTACATGCAGATCCATGACTAAAAGGATTTTGCTATTGTTATTGCCTTCATGAATGCAAGCTCAAATTCCCCCACACAGATAGACAGCCCAAGGACAAGGTTTTTCTCATGTCCAGTGTAAGGGCTCTGTAGCTCATGGGTTAGGTGCCTCTGCTCTAACGCTGGCCAGGACCAGCAGCGTTGGAGCTGAACAACTCCAGCCCCTTGCACAGGCTTGCTCATTTTGGCAAGCCAAGCACTTCTCTTTCTCCAAGCAGGGGAAGGAAAAACCAGAGGATTACAAATGCTTTGAGTCAGCAGCTGTTAGCGATCCTTATTCCTCATGCACCTTGGTTCCTAGACTAACAAAGTTCTCCTTTTCCTTGGCCAACAAACATTGCTGGTGCGCAGCTTTCCAACCTCGCCTGTCAGCCTCCTCTGATCCAAGAGCACTCAACACAGGATGGGTGTATGGCAGAGTAGGAATTCAAAGGGAAAATCTGCTAAAACTCATTGTGAGATGCTAACAGAACCACGGATTGAAAAGAGAGGCTTAAACTCTGAGATACTAGGGTCCCAGAAGCACTTTCAGAGCAGTAAAGAGAAATGTTTGTGCTATCTTCAGTAATTCAGGGAACAAAGAGCTCTGGAGCAAACGAAAGGGCTGGAGGAGTGAGAACTATTTGCCCCACAGAGGGAAAGATGTGTTTCCACTGCTTCTGTGTGGTGATGAACAGAATCACAATAGATGAGAATATGAGAAAAGTAAGAATACTTCTAGTCAAGTCCTATGGTGACCCATATCACCCTTTCTTGCATTGATCAACTTGAGGGGAAAAAACTCATCATCCAGTCTTGTGGTCTTGGGAGCCTGCAGAAACACTTCAAAGAGTAGCAGAGATAAACCATAAACTATCTCAGCAAAACATTAACACACAGAACAAATTCTTTCACATACGCTAGTGCCTGGTGATCCAGGAAAGGTAAGGCTTGAAGCTAGAGCTAATATCTTCTACTAGGCAAACTGACATACTGACACAGTGAAAGGAAAAAAACCCAAGGCTTTTGAGAACACCACCCCTCCTTCATATCAGAAAGCAAAGCAGAAAATTTGAGGGGCATTGCAAGAAAACCATCTTGCATAAACTGAAATGAGAACCAAAAGATAACTCAGCACAGCTTCTAAGCATTTAGAGAAAGATTTTGAAAAATCTTGTTTAGAACACAAAAACCTACTTGACAGCACCAATGCATCTTTGAAAATCAATGCACTAACAGAAAAAGGTAGTTTATTTGGGACAAAACAACCCAGTTGTTGCATAAAGCCTTTTTGTTGCATGTTACAAGCCTGCAAATCAGTAAACAACCAGCAGGCACAGCAATTAAAATAGGTAAAACATAAGAAGAGTTCTTCAACACCCCCGCCCCCTGCTACTGAAGAATTAAACCAAATTGCACAGTGGTACCCAGGGCAGCAGACACTCTGGGGTTTTTTTTTCCTATCGGACACGGCTGTCTGACCCACCTGCCAGTGACAACCACGCTGCGCTCAGCCCCAGTGTACCACTGGTGCTACACAACAAATCTAACACCGGGCAGCTGTGACACGAGTGACATAAAACAGTCACCATCCCAGTTTGTATGTGCACTGCCATCCCAGGAGTGTTTTACAGTACAGGGAGTAAATGGTGTCACTTCCCTTCTTACAGATAGTTGACCTTAAAGACGGTGGTCTTTGCTGTGCTGTGTCGGTGCTCGCCTCTCCTGTGAGCTCAGTGCAGGCTAGCCCCTTTCCCTGGCTCCTGGAGGTACTTCAGCTATGGTCACACCGTGCTGCACTAACCTTTACCTCTTAAATGGTCTAAATTAACTTGGGCACAGGCTCTGCTGAGGGGGCCACTTTGCTTCTGAGCTCACAGCAAATGCTGTTGCTGTCCTTGGGAATTGCATGGGGAATGCCTGTACTCTGCACCCCACTGCAGTGCCTGCCACCAGTCCACTCCCCGAGCACAAGCAGCAGGGAGCAGCAGCTCTGGAGCCTCAGCCACAGGCTCCTGCTTCAGGGAGCAGACCCAAAATACACACTGGAGGTAGATACCCTGAGATACAGAGGATGCAGACATAAAACCTTCTCATCAACCTTTTGTCACACCCATCCATGTCACAGACCACATCCTTACTGCGCTGTTGCTGCCAGTTTACATTGCCTCAGAGAATGAAAAGTTCACCCTCCACCACCTCCAACTGCCCTGGGCATTGGCAAAATCCCCAGGTTGGAGAGAACGATGCTGGCAAAAAGGGGGTCTGTTGGCTGTGCTTACATGTTGCAAACGACTGGCCCTTGTGCTGCGTCAGATGGGTGGCATACCCATGGCAGTGGGGGCTGTGGCACATCTAAGCCTGATGGCTCAGAATGCAGACCGCACCTGAATGCAGCAAGACTTGTGTGAGAAGAGCCCTCACACACTATGGTGCTGGGCAATGGGTAAAGAATTGCAGCTGGAAAAATTAGAACTGTATATGCTGCTCACTGAATTCAAAATAACAAAAGGCCAGATAAAGGCACTATTGCCATAATCCAGTGCAGGATGTTCTGCCACCATGTGAGAGGTGTCCACAGGTGAGTTACAGTGTTTGTTCACTCCAGCTGTTAAAAATAAGACTAAAGTAGCTGCATGTGAGAGTATTCCTACCTACATACAGAAAGCAGAGGAAGAGAAACACTTGGGGCATACAATCTAAGAGATTAGACTGAACAGTGGAGCAGAAATCAGGGAATCCAAAGCATATCACCTGCTTGATGTTTAGGCTATGTGTTGCATGGGCCCTATTGCTTCACTGTAGCACCCTTTAACTAGCATTGCAACGATGGGCAGGGCTCTGCTGGCCTTACCCGTCTCGAGCAGATTCTTGTTCAACCCTTGGTTTCGTATAAATTGATTACAATAGGTGGGTTGGGAAGCACCTATAAGTGGGGAGCAGAGATAGTCTTAGTATTTCTGTTGTAAAACATCTGGAAGTATGTGAAGACAAGATGTGGCAATGTAATGTACTACTAGGTAGTAATATCAATAGGAAGGAAACGCACTAAAGATGGTCAGGAATACATTTTTCCATTCATCAGTTCATTACTAGTGTCCTCATGTTGGAGTGTTCAATGTATTTCCTTACCTGAACCCGCTCAGTACTGGCATGGTCTACTCTTCAAAGGGAACAGACGGGGACTGACCTGATCCTGATGCTGCAATTTAACTTGCTCCAGCTGCAGCCTGTGCTGCTCCTGCAGGCTCTCCCTCTTGGTGTTGTACTCCTCCTGCAGCCGCTGCTCCAGCATCTGCAGGTCCTCCTGCTGCTGCCTACGAAGCTGCTTCACTTCCTCCTCAAAGCACCTCTCCAGCTCCTCCTTCTTGCTCTGTAGTTTCTTCCATTTCACTGTGTTGAGGGCTGTGGGGACAAGACGTTACAGTCAGGCTCTGAATGCCTCGGGAGCAAACAGTGACATTGGATCTGTTTGTACAGCATTGAGTACAGTGGTTCTCACCAACTCTGGGGCTCCTGTGAATCTTGGCCATCAACGAGCTCTCACTATTCGTTCTCACTTTGTCCCGCTCTCCCACACACACATACACACATGCATTCGTTTAAGTGGAGGCACTGGCAGAGTACACAAAGCCCATGCAAAACTGTGATCTGATGAAGTATAATGATGATGATGATGATGATAATGATAATAATAATAATAATAAATAATAAAAGCAGGGAACCCCATGGACCTGCAGGGTGACTCAACGTCCCCTCCTGGCCAGCAGTCTTGGATGCACAAGTTGACGCTTTGGGGCTTTTACTTTGCCTAAGAATCATAGAATCACAGAATCACAGAATGGAAGGAGTTGGAAGGAATCTCTGGGGATCATCTAGTCCAACCCCCCTGCTAAAGCAGACTCACCTACAGCAGGTCGCACAGGGTTGAGTCCAGGTGGGTTTTGAATATCTCCAGAGAAGGAGACTCCACAACCTCTCTGGGCAGCCTGTTCCAGTGCTCTGTCACCCCCAAAGGAAAGAAGTGTTTCCTCATCTTCAGGTGGAACTTCCTGTGCCCCAGTTTGTGCCCACTGCCCCTTGTCTTGTCACTGGGCACCACTGAAAAGAGCCTGGCCCCATCCTCTTGACACCCGCCCTTTAGATATTTGTAAGTGTTGATAAGATCCCCTCTCAGTCTTCTCTTTTCCAGGCTAAAGAGCCCCAGATGTTTCAGCCTTTCCTCGTAGGAGAAATGCTCCAGTCCCTTAATCATCTTCGTAGCCCTCCACTAGACTCTTGTCCCTCTTGAACTGAGGGGCCCAGAACTGGACACAGAACTTCAGATGTGGCCTCACCAGGGCAGAGCAGAGGGGGAGGAGAACCTCCCTTGACCTGCTGGTCACACTCTTATTAATGCACCCCAGGACACCATTGGCTTCTTAGCCACAAGGGCACATTTCTGGCTAATGGTCATCCCGTTATCCACCAGAACTCCTGGGTCCTTCTCTGCAGAGCTGCTCTCCAGCAGGTTGACCCCCAGCCTGTACTGGTGCATGGGGTTATTCCTCCTCAAGTGCAGGAACATAGAATCATAAAATGATTTCATGCAGAATCATAGAATAGTTGGGGTTGGAAGGGACTTTTAAAGGTCATTTAGTCCAAACCTTCCCTGCAGTGAGCAGGAACATTAGCTAGATCAGGTTGCTCAGAGCCCTGTCCAACCTGACCGTGAATGTTTCCAGGAATGGAGCTTCTATCACCTGCCCAGGCAGCCTGTGCCAGTGTTCCACTACCTTCATCACTGTAAAAATTTCTTCCTTATATCTGGTTTAAATCTACTCTCCTTTAGTTTAAAGCCTTTACTCCTTGTCCTATTGCAACAGGCCCTGCTAAAAAGATTGGTCCCATCTTTCTTATAAGTCCCCTTTCAGTACTGGAAGGCCGCTATAAGGTCTCCCCAGAGCCCTCTCTTCTCCAGGCTGAACAACCTCAACTCTCTCAGCCTGCCCTCACAGGGGAGGTGCTCCAGCCCTCTGATCATCTTTGTGGCCCTCCTCTGGGCTCGCTCAAGCAGGTCAATGTCTTTCCTGTGCTGAAGACCCCAGAGCTGGACGCAGCACTGCAGGTGGGGTCTCACCAGAGCAGAGCAGAGGGGCAGAATCACCTCCCTTGACCTGCTGGCCACACTTCCTTTGATGCAGTCCAGGACATGGTTGGCTTTCTGAGCTGTGAGCACACATTGCTGGCTCATGTCCAGCTTTTCATCCATCCACACCCCCAAGTCCTTCTTGGCAGGGCTGCTCTCAATCCCTTCATTCTCCACCCTGTATTGACACTGGGGATTGCCCTGACCCAGGTACAAGACATTGCACTCGGTCTTGTTGAACCTCATGAGGTCCACATGGGACCACTTCTCCAGCCTGTCAAGGTCCCTCTGGATGGCATCCTGCTCCTCAGGATTGTCAGCTGCACCACTCAGCTTGCTGAGGGTGCACTTGATCCCACTGTCTATGTCATTGATGAAGACATTAAACAGCACTGGTCCCAGTATGGACCCCTGAGGGACATCACTTGTCACCCGTCTCCATTGAGCCATTGACCACCATCCTTTGGACGTGACCATCCAACCAGTTCCTCATCCACTAAACAGTCCACCCATCAAATCCGTCTCTCTCCAACTTAGAGAGAAGGATCTTGTGGGCAGCTGTGTCAAAGGCCTTACAGAAATCCAGACAGATGACATCTGTGGCTCTTCCCTTGTCCACTGATGTAGTCACTCCATCATAGAAGGCCACTAGGCTGGTCAGGCAGGACTCGCCCTCAGAAGCCATGGTGGCTGTCTCGAATCTCCTCCCTGTCCTCCATGTGCCTTAGCATAGCTTTTAGGAGGATCTGTTCCTTGATCTTTCCAGGCACAGAGGTGAGGCTGACAGGTTGATAGTTCCCAGGGTCCTCCTTTCTACCCTTTTTAAAAATGGGTGCAATGTTTCCCTTTTTCCAGTCACCAGGGACTTCACCTGACTGCCATGACTTTTCAAATATCATGGACAGTGGCTTGACAACTACATCAGTCAATTCCCTCAGGACTCTGGGATGCAGCTCGTCAGGGCCAATAGACTTTTATATGTTCAGGTTCCTCAGGTGGTCATGAACCTGATTTTCTCTTACAGTGGGAGGGATTTTGCTCCCCCAGTCCCCATCTTGTGGCCCATCCACTCAAGAAGTGTGGGAAGAGAGGTTTCCAGTGAAGACTGAGGCAAAAAGTCATTGAACACTCAGGCTTTTCCTGGTCTGGTTGTTACCAGCTTGCCAGACTTGCTCATCGGAGGGTACACTTTTTTTAACCTTCCTTTTCTGGCTGACATACTTGTAGAAGCCCTTCTTATCATTCTTTGCATCCCTTGCCAAGTTCAGCTCCAGCTGCACCATGGCCGTCCTGACCCCGTTCCTACAAAACTGGGCAGTGTCCCTATACTCTTCCCAGGACACCTGTCCCTGCTTCCACTGCCTGTGCATTTCCTTCTTGTCCCTTAGTTTGACCAGCAGGTCTTGACTCAGACATGCTGGTCTCTTGCCTTCTTTGCCCGATATCTTACACCTGGGGATTGAGAGCTCTTGCACTTTGTGGAAAGTGTCCTTAAAGATCTGCCAGCTCTGTTCTGCTCCCTTATCCCTGAGGGCAGTTACCCAGGGGGTCTTATTGACTAACTCCTTAAAGAGCTGGAAGTTTCCCTTCCCAAAACTCCTGGGTGTCCTGACTTTACTCTTTGCCTGACTCGTATCCCTCAGGACTGAACTCCACCAGTGCATGACCACTGCAGCCCACGCTGCATCCAGTGTTGATGTCACTGATTAGCTCACTTGCATTGGTGACCATCTGGTCCAATATGGCATCCCCTCTGGTAGGCTGTCTATCACCCAGCTTAAGAATTTATCCTCCATGCAGTTCAGGAGTCTCCTGGGTTGCCTACAGCTTGCATGCTTCTTTACCAGCAGATCTTGGGGTGATTGAAGTCCCCCAGCAGGACAAGAACCTGTGAGGGCAAAGCATTTTGTAGCTGCAGCAAGAAGACTTCATCCATAGGCCCCTCTTGATTGGGTGGCCTGTAGTAGGCACCAGCTGAAGAGGCTGAAGTGCCTCTACACCAATGCACACTGCATGGGCAACAAACAGGAGGAGTTGGAAGCCACGGTGCTGCTAGAAAGCTACGACCTGTTTGCTGTTACTTGGTGGGACAAAACCCATGACTGGGCGTGGCTATCAATGGCTACAGGCTGTTCAGGAGGGTCAGGTGAGGAAGGAGGGGCGAAGGCGTTGCCCTCTACATCAAGAAATGGATAGCTTCTGAAAAGCTGTCTGAGGAATAGCCATGAGCAGGTTGAACGCTTATGGGTAAGAATTAGGGACCAAGGCAACAAAGAGAGCCTTGTGGTTGGGGTCTACTACAGGCCGCCTGATTAAGGGGGAGCCTATGGACTAAGTCTTCTTAGTCCAGCTACAGGAGGCTTCGCACTCACAGGCTCTCATCCTGGGCTGCATCAAAAGAAGTGTGGCCAGCAGGTCGAGGGAGGGGATTCTGCCCCTCTGCTCTGCTCTGGTGAGACCCCACCTGCAGTGCTGCATCCAGCTCTGGAGCCTCAGCACAAGAAAGACATGGACCTGTTGGAGTGAGTCCAGAGGAGGGCCACAAAGGGGAACGCCTCTCCTAGGAAGAAAGTCTGAGAGAGTTGTTCAGCCTGGAGGAGAAGGCTCCAGGGAGACCTTATAGTGGCCTTCCAATACTTAGCGGGGGCTTATAAAAAAGATGGTGGCCATCTTTTTAGCAAGGACTGTTGCAATAGAACAAGGAGTAAAGGCTTTAAACTAAAGGAGGGTAGATTTAGACCAGATATAAGGAAGAAATTTTTACAGTGATGAAGGTAGTGAAACACTGGCACAGGCTGCCCGGACAGGTGATAGAAGCTCCATTTCTGGAAACATCCAAGATCAGGTTGGACAGGGCTCCCAGCAACCTAATCTAGCTAAAGATGTCCCTGCTTACTGCAGGTGAGTTTGGACTAGATGACCTTTAAAGGTCCCTTCCAACCCAAAACATTCTATGATTCTATGATTCTATGAACTAGTTTCAGTAGGTGCAACTCTAACAGTTTCATCATGTCAAGGATATATTCAGTCTATTTCCCCATTTGGTTCCTCACTTACATTGTTCCTTATATTCTCATGAACACTGTCCCCTCAGCCTTTTGCTTTGCTACAGATTAGTTCCAATCTATCCAGATATCAAAGACCTAATGCAAGCTGGACAAGGTCCGCCAGACTACATCTAGAGAGCAAGTTTCCTCACTTGCAAAGAACCAATAGGTAAGAAGTGACTAAAATCATCGCGACCAGATGTCTAGAGAAGAAGAGATCTGTTTTTAAT